TTTGTTTATTTCAAATCAGTTGCACCCGTCACGAGGTTGTCGTAGATTTTGTGTAAGTACAAATTTAGCCTTAAAGGGAATGTCTAAGCAAAATCTGCAAAAGCAATGTTAGTTAGTCCTCAACATAAGCGATAATCTTAATTTGGCACGGAAGCCCATGTATTCAACGGTGAGTGATAGCTTTTGAGTAGTCAAATTAGAAAGGAAGCAAACTGGGAAGTTGCAATCTGAGGTTTTTCTTCTAGTACATGGGAAGTTCATATAGTAAAAGTGGCGCTCGTACAAGTAAGCTATTGTGGTATCACAGGTTTTGTGCTTTTACGTTAATTTGGCGTCTTCGGTTTGGGAGGGGCAGTTAAGTTTTCGTTAGTTCATTTGATTAGTTCCTGTTGGCAACCACCTCAGTTTCTGTAAAACCTGTAAACTCGCGTGGTACTAGTGAGCCAGTTCGGTTACAAGAATTCACAGGGCTTCGCTAGGATATCCTGTACAAGTTTCGCTGATTACCATCCATTCGTTGCCATACCAGAACGAATTGTGTCCTTGTTTTTGTCCATTACATTACCAAAGTTTCAATGTTGCAATAATTGACTGTGTAATTAGGCTCACTTTTCTTTTAGCAAAGGGCCCACATCAGCCTTTTAGACGCACAGAATGTAGGGAAAAAGTGGGCCCTCTGAAGCCGATCTCCACTTACACCCTCGAAAAAGAGCAGAAGTCTTTATTGCTCGTGGATTTTTGAAAACAATCTGGCTGTGATCTTTGTTAAATGGTGAGCTAAATTACAGGTTTGAGTGCAATATTTGCTTGGATACAGCAAAAGATGCTGTGGTATCTATGTGTGGTCATTTGTTTTGCTGGCCTTGTCTTGTGCAATGGCTGGACACAAGACCAAATCGCCAACTTTGCCCCGTTTGCAAAGCCGCCATAAGTAAAGATAAGGTTTGTTTCGTGATTTCTTTCAAATGGGTTTCTTTTTTTTCCTTAATTCTGGCATGACCCCTTCTGGGCCGATAGTCACGGTTGTTTTGTTTTCGCTACTATGATAAGAAATCTTCACATATTTAAGGTGATTCCACTTTATGGTCGAGGAGGGCGATAATACTGATCCACGTGAGAAAATGCCTCCCCGTCCAAGAGGTCAACGAACTGAAGCGCCACAAGTAAGTGTTTCTGCCGCTCTGCTCGCTCTACTCAGACAGCATCTGAAGGAAAGGGCTTAATTACCTTGTCCAACACTCACGATCCGCTCCCACGTAAGAGCGCGTTCATACTTTGCTATCGCATCGCTTAGATCACGCGAGCGCCCGCTTGATCCCATACTTAATTTCTTGTTCCTTCATAAACCGCTGGGTGTCGTCTCCTGAATGTACCATAGCACTCGACTGTTACGTGACTTCCTTGACTTCTACGGCTCGTTACCCGTTAATCTGCCTGCGTACGCGATAAGTACTCGCCGGTAGTGCTCGCTTAGCATTTATAAAAAAAAACTTGGGAAGCTTTTTGCTCACTTATTGATAAGACACTAAGTCCCAGTAAGAGCTTATGTTTGGGAAAAAGAGGCTATGATTGGCCACCGTCAAAAGGTTCAACTGGGTATCATTTACAAATGCTTATCATGGCACGACTAGGAAGGAAACTCTTTGCGTAATGCTAAGCTGATCGTCAATTATCCTCCACTTCTCTTTTTGCAGCAAGTAAGCTGTGGGAAGGAATTTTCTGGACTGGGTAGGTGACATTTGTGAGCAGAACGTTATTTCGTTTGCACTAAGGCAGGTATTTTCTTTCCTCCATTACCTGAACAGTAGAGCCCGTATCACGGCGCCCATCATCGTCTTGGAAATAGCAGTGTTGGCCATTCGGAAAAGCGTGGGGGAGTTAGTTTTACTGTGAGGGACTTTCTCCAATGTTGGTTCTTACTCATGTTATAAGCACGTTCATACCACCCGCCCCGTTCAACTGCAAGGTTTCGAGGAAATTACTAAACTGAGATGGAGGTAGGAATGGGCGTTACTGAAGGAGTGAAGGAAGGGGTGCAAAAGTTGTTCACAATGTCCCCTGCCTAGAGAGCAGATTTCCACGGACTTAATTGTACAATTATGGCAGTTGCCCCGTATCTGTAGACATTCAATAAAAG